GGAGGCCAAGGCAGGTGGATCACCTGAGGTCAGGAATTGGAGAGCAGCCTGGCCAACATGGTGAAACCTTGTCTCTAAAAATACAAGAAATTAGCTGGGCATGGTGACAGGTGCCCTGTAATCCCAGCTTCTCAGGAGGCTGGGGCAGGAGAATCACTTGAACCCAGGAGGCAGAGGTTGCAGTGAGCCAAGATCACACCACTGCACTCCAGCCTGAGTGACAAAAGCGAGGGGCCGGGTGTGGTGGCTCAGGCCTGTAATCTCAGTACTTTGGGAGGCCAAAGTATGAGGATCACTTGAGGCCTGGATTTCGAGACCAGGTTGGGCAACATGGCAAAAACCCTTTTCTACTGTACTAAAAATACAAAAATTAGCCGGGTGTGGTGGTGCACACCTGTGATTCTATCTACTAGGGTGGCTGAGACACAAGAATCACTTGAGCTCGGGAGGCAGAGGTTGCAGTAAGCTGAGACTGTGCCACTGCACTCCAGCCTGGGTGACAGAGGGGAGACTGTCTCACAAAAAGGCATTATCAATAAGTGTTTTTTAAACTTTTTCTTTCTCTTACATCTGCCGTCCCTCCCCAAATTGGGCATTTAATTCATCTTTGAACTGGTCATTCCCTGAGTTCCTGACTTAGTAAGTGCTTTTCTTTCTTTATTTTTTCCCCAACACCGAGTCTTGCTCTGTTCCCCAAGCTGGTGTGGGGTGGCAGGATCTCGGCTCACTCTAACCTCCACCTCCCAGGTTTAAGCAATTCTACTGCCTCAACCACCAGAGTAGCTGGGATTACAGGCCTGAGCCACCATGCCTGGCTCATTTTAGTATTTTTAGTAGAGATGGAGTTTTGCCATGTTGGCCAGGTTGGTCTAACTGCTGACCTCAAGTGAACTGCCTGCCTTGGCCTCCCAAAATGCTGGGATTATAGTTGTGAGACACCATGCCTGCCGTGCCCTGCCCTGCCCTGCCCTCCTGCCCTGCCTTCCCTTCCCTTCCCTTCCCTTCCCTTCCCTTCCCTTCCCTTCCCTTCCCTTCCCCTCCCCCCTTCCCCCCCCCCATAGAGAGAGGTTTTTTTTTTTTTTGAAATGGAGTTTCACTCTTGTTGAACAGTCTGAAGTGCAATGGTGCGACCTTGCCTCACCGCAACTTTTGTTTCCCGGGTTCAAGTGATTCTCCTGCCTCAGCCTCCTGAGTAGCTGGAATTACAGGTGCACACCACCATGCCTGGCTAATTTTTTGTATTTTTAGGAGAAATGGGGTTTCACCGTGTTAGTTAGGCTGGTCTCAAACTCCTGACCTCAAGTGATCCACCTCGGCCTCCCAAAGCTCTGGGATTACAGGCGTGAGCCACTGTGCCCATCTGTCTTTCTTTTTTTGAGACAGGATGTTGCTCTGTCATCACAGCTCACTACAGCTTCTACCTCCCAGGCTCAAGCAATCTTCCTGCCTCAGCCTCCAAGTAGCTGGAACTACAGGCATGCACACCACAACCTGCTTGCTATCAAGTAGTAAATTTTAAATGCAAAAACTGCAATGAAGCTTTTTGATAAATTGCATCAATAACTTTTACCTAGATTGATGGAAACCTGGATGATAGCTAATTATTCTGTGCTGTTCCCTTCAGTAAACATTTTTATGTCTTTTCTTTTTTTGCTTTAGAAGTATCAGTATCTATATTAACATCAAATTTTAACTATGAACCAGCCCAACTTAACACATATTCTGCACCTACAATGTATTAAGCATCTTTTTTTTTTTTTTTTTTTTTTGAGACAGAGTTTGGCTCTTTGTTACCCAGGCTGGAGTGCAATGGCGCCATCTCGGCTCACCGCAACCTCCGCCTCTTGGGTTCAGGCAATTCTCCTGCCTCAGCCTCCTGAGTAGCTGGGATTACAGGCATGCATCACCATGCCCAGCTAATTTTTTGTATTTTTAGTAGAGACGGGGTTTCACCATGTTGACCAGGTTGGTCTTGATCTCTCGACCTTGTGATCCACCCGCCTCGGCCTCCCAAAGTGCTGGGATTACAGGCTTGAGCCACCGTGCCCAGCCCTTTTTTTTTTTTTTTTTTTTTTTTTTTTGAGACGGAGTCTCACTCTGTCACCCAGGCTGGAGTGCAATGGCGCGATCTCGGCTCACTGCAACCTCTGCCTCCCAGGTTCAAGCGATTCTCCTGCCTCAGCCCCCTGAGTAGCTGGGATTACAGGTGCGTGCCACCGTGCCCAGCTAATTTTTGAATTTTTAGTAGATACGGGGTTTCAACATTTTGGCCAGGCTGGTCTCGAACTCCTGACCTTGTGATCCACCTGCCTGAGCCTCCCAAAGTGCTGGGATTACAGGCATGAGCCACCGCGCCCAGCCTTGTATTAAGTATGTTGTGAAGTTAAAAGATATCTAAGACATGGTCCCTGTCCTGAAGGAGCTTACTTCTAATTTACTACTTTACTAAAACTGTCAGTACTTAGAAAATGTAAATTAAGGACCTGGCGCATGGCTGGGCGCGGTGGTTCACACCTGTAATCCCAGCACTTTGGGAGGTTGGGGCAGGTGGATCACGAGGTCAGGAGTTCGAGACCAGCCTGACCAACGTGGTGAACCCTATCTCTACTAAAAATACAGAAATTAGCTGATTGTGGTGGCTCGCACCTGTGATCCCAGCTACTCAGGAGGCTGAGGCAGGAGAATCACTTGAATCCAGGAGGCAGAGGTTGCAGTAAGTGGAGATCATGCCACTGCACTCCAGCCTAGGTGACAGAGCGAGACTCCATCTCAAAAATAAATAAATAAATAAAAACTAAATAAATATGAAGGTCTGGATGCAGTAGTTCATGCCTGTAATCCCAGCAGTTTGGTTGAGGTGGGTAGATCACAAGGTCAGGAGTTTGAAACAACCTGGCCAGTATGGTGAAACCCTGTCTCTACTAAAAATGCAAAAATTAGCTGGGCCTGGTGGCGTACTTTTGTAGTCCCAGCTACTTGGGAGGCTGAGGCAGAAGAATTGCCTGAACCCAGGAGGCAGAGTTTGCTGTGAGCCAAGATCATGCCACTGCACTCTGGCCTGGAAAACAGAGCAAGATTCTGTCTCAAAAAAAAAAAAAAAAAAAAGTAAATTAGCAGCTCTCAGTTACTTCCTGGAGTTTGGAAATATTTAGTGAGAGTCTACTATGTATTGGGAAATGTATGAATATATGATAACATGACAATACACATAACGATTCTAAAAATTTCCCATTCTCTGGTATGTACTCCCTTTTATTTCCCACTATTGAAAAGCATTGAATCTTGAGTTAATATATCTACTAGTCAATTTATATATCCTGCACAGACACATACATGTTCACATCAGCATTACATGAAAAAATCTTCAAAGTTCTATGACAGCTGTCACCAATCACAATACTGTGTATCAAGTATAAACTGCAAAACTTTAAAAACTGACTTACATGTCTAGCTCCTAACCAAATTTTATTTACTTTAATCATTATTCATGCTTTTTTAGAGTAGCAATATGAAGCTGTAGTCTACTTAAAAATGCCAGCTGGAAGTAAAAAATCTCAATGTTAGGCAGGGCACCGGGACTCACGCCTGTAATCCCAGCACTTTGGGAGGCCGAGGTGGGTGGATCCTGAGGTCAGGAGTTTGAGACCAGCCTGACCAACATGATGAAAGCCTGTCTCTACTAAAAATACAAAAATTAGCTGGGTGTGGTGGCGGGTGCCTGTAATCCTAGCTACTGGGGCAACTGAGGCAGGAGAATCGCTTGAACCCGGGAGGCGGAGATTGCAGTGAGCTGAGACAACTCCGTTCCACTCCAGCCTGGGCAACAGAGTGAGACTGTCTCAAAACAAAACAAAAAACAAAAAACCTTCAATGTTATATTTCTGTATCTGTCGTTATGATTTTTAATTGTAATGGCTTGTATTCCACCATATTGTTATGCCATAATTTACTCCAAATGTTTTCATGTTTTCTTTCTTTCTTTTTTTTTTTTTTTGAGACGGAGTTTCGCTCTTGTTACCCAGGCTGGAGTGCAATGGCGCCATCTCGGCTCACCGCAACCTCCGCCTCCTGGGTTCAGGCAATTCTCCTGCCTCAGCCTCCTGAGTAGCTGGGATTACAGGCACGCACCACCATGCCCAGCTAATTTTTTGTATTTTTAGTAGAGACGGGGTTTCACCATGTTGACCAGGATGGTCTCGATCTCTTGACCTCGTGATCCACCCGCCTCAGCCTCCCAAAGTGCTGGGATTACAGGCTTGAGCCACCGCGCCCGGCTGTTTTCACGTTTTCATATTACAAAGTGCAATTACAAATAGAATTGTGTCAAAGGAAGGAAGTTTGCCTGTTATCATTTATGCTTACATAAAAATAAATTGCATTTATTGGAATTCTTAAAAATCTAAGTAAATGGATGTTCTTTGCTATTTTCCCACCGTGTAGTAAGCAAATTATCCTACGTACGTTTTACAACTGCAGTACTATCAATAGAACCACGGTTTGGAAAGCCAATTGCATACGGTAATCTAATACAAATGTAAGGTGGCATTAACATTGCATATTCACAGATTTAAGGGCTTGAATAAAAGCTAATTAGGAAACCCCAAAACTGCGTCTCTCCCCATTTTTGGCTTAACAGTAAAACATTGACATTCTTTCAGAGCCTGTCAGACTGTGCTTGTAATTTTCTAGTTAAGAATCACTCAGTGAGTAAGTTCAGTTGGTGGAGGAAAAAGCTTCAGCAGATGCTTTGAGGCAGCATCGAGGTTTGATGGGGTCGAGCCCCTTCCAACTGGGCTGGTCATTCGGTCTGCAGCTGGGTGGCGTTCTTCGTGGTTGAGTAGGATGAAGAAAGAATGTCGCTCGTAGCTTCCAAGGCCAGACCTTAGCCAGCACTCATGCGGACCGCAGAGACCCCAGGAACCAACTCAGTACGCGTCTGCACGCCTCCCAGCCTCTTGTCCGCCAGGAGGTTCTGCGCAGGCGCGGCAGTCGTGCGACAGCCGTCATTTACGGCCGGAGCTGTTCGCGCTGGGAGTTGGTGGCGCGGTGCAGGGCTCTTAAGAACGAACGGCTTGGGCGAGGGTAATCAGCTCCCTTTCCCCCCACCCTTTTCACTTATTATAGGTACTTGGGACTGTCGCAGAGTTTCCAGACCCGATGCAGGCGCCCAGTCGTGGACTGTACCACTCTGCTGCTCCATTGCTGGGGGTGCTCCCGCGCCCAGGTGGGGGTGAGGGGCGGGGTCGGGGGCTGGGCTGCACTCCATCCTAGCGTCTTCGTGGTGAAAGCTCCCAGGTAACTCCCGGTTCTTTTTGTTTTCCAAGACTGGTATCCGGGGACTGTGACTTGCAGGGTCCGCCATGGAGCCAGAGCAGATGCTGGAGGGACAGACGCAGGTATCAGGAGGCCCAGGATTCAGGGTTGGCGGTGTGCAGGGAGGCAGCGAGAAAGGGGGGCTTATATCTCTGTGACTGGTGTTTTGTTTTCTAGGTTGCAGAAAATCCTCACTCTGAGTACGGTCTCACAGATAATGTTGAGGTAACTCTCCCAGTTCTATGCCTCATCTGCGTGTCTCTTGGGAGCTGGAGAAAACTTGGGATCCGCTTTTACTAGGTTACTTTGCACAAGGGAAAACTTTGTTATCTTGAACTGAATAGTATCAAGTTATGAGACGCTTGTTTTAGTAACGGTACTAATGCTGCGTGGTGTACGGACGTACAAATTAGGTTTGAGCCAAAGGATTGAACTTTTATTATGAAACACACATTCTTGGCGGATACTGTCTGAATCGTATTGCTTGGTGGCTTTTTTTTTTTTGTGTGTGTGATGGAGTCTCCGTCACCAGGCTGGAGTGCAGTGTCGCGATCTCGGCTTACTGCAACCTCCGCCTCCCAGGTTCAGGCCATTCTTCTGCCTCAGCCTCCGGAGTAGCTGGGATTACAGGCACATGCCACCATGCCTGGCTAATTTTTTGTATTTTTAGTAGAGACAGGGATTCCCGATGTTGGCCAGGCTGGTCGTGAAGTCCTGATCTCGTGATCAGCCCGCCTTGGCCTCCCAAAGTTCTGCTATTACAGATGTGAGCCACCGTGCCTGGCCTATTATAAATGTTTTGTTGTCGTTGTTGTTTTCTGAGATGGAGTCTCGCTCTGTAGCCCAGGCTGGAATGCAGTGGCCCGATCTCGGCTCACTGCAACCTCCGTTTCCCGCGTTCAAGCGATTTTTCTGCCTCAGCCTCCCTAGTACTTGGGACTACAGGCGCCTGCCACCAAGCCTGGCTAATTTTTGTATTTTTAGTAGAGATGGGGTTTTACCTCATTGGTCAGGCTGGTCTTGAACTCATGATCTCGTGATCCGCCTGCCTCGGCCTCCTAAAATGTTGGGTTTACAGGTGTGAGCCACCGCGTCTGGCCATATTATAAATGTTTTAATGACCCTGCCCATTTTATGATTTGTATAATTTCTGGGTCTATTTCTGTGGATTCCTTTTTGTCTTCATTGTAGGTATGTTTTTCCTGCTTATTTGCCTGCTTGGTAATTTCTGATTGTATGCTGAGCATTGTGAACTTTACTTTGTAGAGTATTGGACAATTTTGTATTTTTATTTTGTTTTGAGACAGTTTCGCTCGTCAACCAGCATGGAGTGCAGTGGCACAATTGTGGCTCACTGCAACCACTGTGTCCCGGGTTCAAGCGATTCTCCTGCCTCAGGCTGCTGAATAGCTGGCATTACAGGTGCCTGCCACCATGCCTGGCTAATTTTTGTATTTTTAGTAGAGCCAGGGTTTCACCATGTCAGCCAGGCTGGTATTGAACTCCTGACCTTAGGTAATCTGCCCGCCTTGACCTCTCAAAGTGCTGGGATTACAGGCTTGAGCCACCACAACTGGCAATTTTGTTTTTTGTTTTTTTAAACATTTTTGGCTGGGTGCAGTTGCTCTTGCCTGGAATCCTAGTGCTTTGGGAGACTGAGGTGGGCAGACTGCCTGAGGCTCAGGAGTTTGAGACCAGCCTGGCAAACATGGTGACATCCGCCTTTAAAAAACAAAACAAAAACATTTTTTAATTTGTTCTGAGACACAGTTACTTAGAAACAGTTTGATACTTTTGAGGCTTGCTTTTAAGCTTTGTTAGGTGAGACCAGACTAGCCTTACTTTAGGCTTAATTTCCTTTTATTGCGTATTCTATTCAATACTCCATGTATTATGATTTTTTTTTTTTTTTTTTGAAACAAAAGTCTCTCTCTGTCACTCAGGCTGGAGTGCAGCGGTATGATCTCGGTTCACTGCAACCTCTGCATCAGCCAATATGCTGGTGTATCATGAGATTTTTCTCACCCTGCCTCACTGGAACACAAACCATTTCCAGCCTGTGTGAGCTGCAAGGATTGTTCTTTGTGGTGTAATATAGTTTGGATATTTGTCCCTTCCAAATCTCATGTTGAAATGTGACCCCCCAATGTTGGAGGTGGGGGCTGGTAGGAGATGTTTGGGTCATGGGGGTAGACCCAAACATCAACGGCATGGTACCATCTTTGGTAATGAGTGAGTTCTTAATCTATTAGTTACATTGAGATCTGAATATTAAAAAGAGTCTGGTGCCGGGCGCGGTGGCTCAAGCCTGCAATCCCAGCACTTTGGGAGGCCGAGGCAGGTGGATCACGAGGTCAAGAGATCGAGACCATCCTGGTCAACATGGTGAAACCCCATCTCTACTAAAAATACAAAAAAATTAGCTGGGCATGGTGGTGCGTGCCTGTAATCCCAGCTACTCAGGAGGCTGAGGCAGGAGAATTGCCTGAACCCAGGAGGCAGAGGTTGCGGTGAGCCGAGGTGGCGCCATTGCACTCCAGCCTGGGTAAAAAGAGCGAAACTCCATCTCAAAAAAAAAAAAAAAAAAAGAGTCTGGCACCTACTCCTTTCTCTCTTGCTCCCTCTCTTGTTATGTGACATGTCAGTTCCTCTCTGTCAGGATTGACAGCTCCCTGAAGCACTCATCAGTAGCAGATGCTGGTGCCCTGCTTGCGTAGCTTGCAGAATTGTGGCCAAATAAACCTCTTTTCTTTATAAATAACCCACCCTCAGGTATTTCTTTATAGCAATGCAAATAGACTAAGACGAGACAAAGACGAGACAGTCGTTTCCCTGGCCTTGGGTAGTTGACTTACATTCATCTATTGATAAGTACTTACTTGAAGACTGGAAAACAGTATCCTTAGTCTCTTTCTGGGCAGTTCTTGGCTCCATGCAACTTTTTTCCCTTCAGTGCTCTGCCTTGCAAATTTTTAGTTGTTTTGGTCTCCCAGAATTTTCAACTCTGTTTTCTCAACTCAGGGAGACTACTAGGGTCTGTTCAAGTTCTCTCTCCCTACACTGCATCCTGTAAGTTCTCCAGGCAGAAAACAATAAGCAGGGACAGTCATAGTGCTCACCTTGTTTTTCCCCTTTTTGTGATCACTGTTCTACACTGTCTTACGAGCTCATTTTTTGTTATGGTAGTTTGGATATAGCTATTTTTAGATTAGTTCGAGATTTTGAGTTAAGTGAAATTGAGCATCACAGTTGGCACATGATGGATACTTAGTAAATGTTCAGATGAAATAAATGGGAAGATTTGGTTAAGGAATTTATTACAGGATTTATAGGAGTTGCTTACGTTTGCTCTTTCTTATTGGAGACATTGTAATGGCATGTAACTGACAAGTTAAATTTTCTTAAAATTATTATTATTATTTTTTTGAGGTGGAGTTTCGCTCTTGCTACCCAGGCTGGAGTGCAATGGCGCGACCTCGGCTCACCGCAACCTCCGCCTCCTGGGTTCAAGCAATTCTCTTGCCTCAGCCTCCTGAGTAGCTGGGATTACAGGCACGCGCCACCATGCCCAGCTAGTTTTTTGTATTTTTAGTAGAGACGGGGTTTCACCATGTTGACCAGGATGGTCTCGATCTCTCGACCTCGTGATCCACCCGCCTCGGCCTCCCAAAGTGCTGGGATTACAGGCTGAGCCACCGCGCCCGGCCAGAAAATTATCTTTTAATTAAATTCTAAAATTAGATTGCAAAACCATAAGCAGAAGTACAAAAGTTGTCTGACAGTTATGGGAAGTGTCTTTGGAAACCATGCTATTTATGTTACAGATGTGATTAAAGATTTTTTTTCTTACTTTTACCAAAATACAATTAAAAGTAGAAAAATTTTTCTTTGTCAACTCTTTTATATCTAGTTTGAGTATGTTGAAGCAAAAGTTCATTTAAATGAAAGTGCTCTTAGGAATACTGTTTTGTCCTTTTAGAGCCACTTAACTGTTTTTTTTTTCTCTTTCATTTTTTTTTTTTTTTTTTTTTCAGACAGAGTATTGCTCTGTCACCCAGGCTGGAGTACAGTGTCTCAATCTTGGCTCCCTGCAATCTCTACCTCCTGGGTTCAGCCATTTTGCCTCAGCCTCCCAAGTAGCTGGGCTTACAGTCATGTGCCACCATGCCCAGCTAATTTTGTATTTTTTGTAGAGATGGGACAGATGGGATTTTACCATGCTGGTCAGGCTGGTCCCGAACTCCTGGACTCAACCAATCACCCTGCTTCAGTCTCCCGAAAGTGCTGGGAATACATGAGCCACCACACCCAACCCCCATTTTAAACATCTGAAATGTTAGATTTTCAAAAAAAAACAATTTTTTTTTCTTTTTGAGACAGAATCTTGCCATGTTACCCAGGCTGGAGTGTAATGGCGCAATCTTGGCTCACTGCAGCCTCTGCCTCCCGGGTTCAAGTGATTCTTGTGCTTTACCTTCCCAAGTAGCTGGACTACAGGCATGTGCCACCATGCCCATCTAGTTTTTAATTTCTTTATTTTTTTTTATGACTACTTTTGTGCCAGTTCTTAAATTTTTAATAGAGATGGGATTTCACCATGTTGGCCAGGCTGGTCTCAACTCCTGGCCTCAAGTGGTTCACCTGCCATGGCCTCCCAGAGTTCTGGGATTACAGGCATGAGCAACTGTGCCCAGATGGAACATTTTTTAATACATTAGTTTAAGAAAAGCCTGGGCTTGGTGGCTCACACCTGTAATCTCAGCACTTTGGGAGGCTGAGTCAGGCGGATCACCTGAGGTCGGGAGTTCAAGACCAGCCCGAGCAACATGGAGAAACTGTCTCCACTAAAAATACAAAATATTAGCTGGACTGGTGGCTCATGCCTGTAATTCCAGCTACTTGGGAGGCTAAGGCAGTAGAATTGTTTGAATCCAGGTGGCAGAGGTTGCTGTGAGCTGAGATTGTGCCATTGCACTCCAGCCTGGGCCACAAGAACGAAACTCAAAAAAAAAAAATTTTTTTTAAGTCTGTTGGAGGCAATAAGTTAGTTTTTAATTCTCTGAATGTCAGCTGAATCTATTTGATAGCTCCAAAATTTGGGGGGTTGTAAAGAAGAAAATATAACTTGTTATTTTTAAAATTGCATCTATTTTTATTTTTAATTTTTATTTATCTATTTTTTTGAGATGGAGTCTTGCTCTGTTGCCCAGGCTGGAATGCAGTGGCGTGATCTCGGCTCACTGCAACCTCCACCTCCCGGGTTCAAGCAATTCTCCTGTCTCAGCCTCCCGAGTAGCTAGGACTACAGGCGTGTGCCACCATGCTCAGCTAATTGTTTTGTATTTTTAGTAGAGACGGGTTTCACACTGTATTAGCCAGGATGGTCTTTATCTCCTGACCTTGTGATCTGCCCACCTCGGCCTCCCAAAGTGCTGGGATTATAGGCGTGAGCCACTGAGCCTGGCCAGCTTAATTTATTTTTAATTAAAATTAATTATTGCTTTTTGCGTTACCTGCTGGAGTGGGGAAAACCGTTAATTTAAATATGACATTAGTGATTTTTTTCTGTATTAATAATTTTCTTCATTTTGGGGGTATTTACATAATGTATTTTCTTAAGTCTGTTCATTTTAAAAAATCATAGATAGATTGATTGATTTAGAGACAGGGCCTTACTTTGTCAGCCAGGTTGGAGTGCAGTGGCATGATATCATCTCACTGCAATCTCTGCCTCCTGGGCTCAAGTGAGCCTCCCATCTCAGCCTTCTGAGCAGCTGGGACTACAGGCACACTGCCTGGCTAATTTTTGTAGAGACTGGATTTTGCCATGTTGCCCAAGCTGAATGTATTTCTTTAAAAAAGAAACATAAAGGGAAAAGTATTCTCATTGTGATAAATAGATGGTAACCATAAAAATAACAACAGTGAATACAAGACAATGGTAATAAATTTTAGCTAGATTCTCTTGAGTGTATAAGCTTTATACTCTGAAGCTTGCTGTCTTTGCTATGACCAGCTTTCTTGCTGTGATTTGGTGCTGTTTGGTGTTGTGTCCAGTTTTTTTGGGAACATGCTTTGAGAAGATATACGAAAAAAAATAAAAGCATTTGTATTTACTCCTACAAAGGCAGAATGAAAGGGAGAAAGAGTAGGATCTTAAGACATGACATTAGAAGAATGAGATGTTATGGTGCTTTTGGAGAGAAAAAGCTTGAATGAGTTTGAAAGATGGGTCTGAATTTATTTTGGGCAGAGAAGTTTGTGGTCTAGTACCAGCTTTCTAGTTATAGATTTGCCTTTTCTCTTAGTGTCGTATTTCCAGTAATTTTGTTTAGCACTGAAAATAACCTGGTTATTTGAAATGTTCATGTACTGTTTTTTTGAATTCATTAGAGGATAGTAGAAAATGAGAAGATTAATGCAGAAAAGTCATCAAAGCAGAAGGTAGATCTCCAGTCTTTGCCAACTCGTGCCTATCTGGATCAGACAGTTGTGCCTATCTTATTACAGGGACTTGCTGTGCTTGCAAAGGAAAGGTAAGATAATTGTGACCACAAATGGAGTTAGTAGAGAAAGCAAAATAGATTCCCCTAACTGAAATATCATTAGTTATGTATATAAACTTTTTACTGTGTGATTTATGGATGTTAAAGTTTTTAAGAACGTGCTCAGCCATAATCTCATAATTCAGACATTTAATTTTTTTCCCACCAGTCTTAGATCATATGCATATTTGCAAAGATTTGTAATCATGATATACATTAATTTTAAGTCTTCTTTTTACTTATGACATAATGTTTTTCTGTATCTCTCTATAGTCTTCATGATTACAATTTAAATTATTATTATTATTATTATTGTTATTTTGAGATGGAGTCTCACTCTGCTGCCCAGGCTGGAGTACAGTGGTGTGATCTCTGCCCACTGCCACCTCTGCCTCCTGGGTTCAAGTGATTCTCGTGTCTCAGCCTCCTGGGTAGCTGGGACTACAGGCATGTGCCACCATGACTGCCTAATTTTTGTATTTTTGGTAAATACGGGGATTCACCATGTTGGCCAGGCTGGTCTTGAATTCCTGACTTCAAGTGATCTGCCCACCTTGGCCTCCCCCAAAGTGCCGGGATTTTAGGTATGAGCCACTGTGCCCGGCCTATTATTATTATTATTATTTTTTGAGACAGAGTCTTGGTCTGTGTCCCTGGCTGGAGTAGAGTGGTGAAATCTCTGCTTACTACAACCTCTACCTTGCTGGGTTCAAGTGTTTCTCCTGCCTCAGTCTCCCGAGTAACTGGGATTAAAGGTATCTGCTACCATACCCGGCTAATTATTGTATTTTTAAGTAGAGAAAGGGTTTTGACTTGATGGCCAGGCTTGTCTTGAACTCCTCACCTCAAGTGATCCACCAGCGTCAGCCTCCCAAAGTGCTGGGATTACAGGTGTTAACCACCGCACCCAGCCTGTAATTTAAGTTGTAATACCACATTTAATTTAGCCATTTTCCCACTGTTGAACATTTACGTAGAATTTCCTTTGTTAATTGGTCACCCAGGCAATTTATCTATGTTCATGTCTTTTGCTTTTGTTTAGTTACTTTTTAAATGATAATTTCCCAAGAGTTGGCTTACCAATTCAAAGGTCGTGATGCTTTTTATGACGTTTGGCATATCATATTTGTTTTCAAAAGTTTGTCCTTAAAATTCTTCTAGTGTTACCATGGCCTCATACGTAAAAAGTTAATAAATATTTGCCAGTTGTTTTAATTTACATTTTCTTTCTTTTTCTCTCTCTCTCTTTTTTTTTTTTTTTAAGAGTGGTGCGATCTTGGCTCATTGTAACCTCTGCCTCCCAGGTTCAAGCAATTCTCCTGCCTCAGCCATCCAAGTAGCTGGGACTACAGGCATGCACTACCACGCCCTGCTAATTTTTGTATTTTTAGTAGAGACAGGGTTTCACCATGTTGGCCAGGATGGTCTCAATCTCTTTACCTTGTGATCCACCTGTGTTGGCCTCCCAAAGTGCTGGGATTACAGGCATGAGCCACAGCGCCCAGCCTTAAATTTTCTTAATAGCAAGGGTAGAATTATTTATCTTTTTTTTTTTTTTTTTGAGATGGAGTCTCGCTCTGTAGCCCAGGCTGGAGTGCAGTGGTGCAATCTTGTCTCACTGCAACCTCCGCCTCCTGGGACTGGTTCAAGCAATTCTCCTACCTCAACCTTCCAAGTAGCTGGGATTACTGGCACGAGCCACCATGTCCAGCTAATTTTTGTATTTTTTAGTAGAGATGGGGTTTCACCATTGGTCAGTCTGGTCTTGAACTCCTGACCTCGTGATCTGCCCGCCTCGGCCTCTAAAAGTGCTGGAATTACAGGTGTGAGCCACTGTGCCTGGCTGCCATTTATCTTTTTTTAACATGTTTTCCCCCAATAATTCTCACCTAAATTTTTTTTTGTGTAAGCAAATGTAATAAGAAAATTTGTTTTGGAAGTTAGTCAACATTTATTAGGTGCATATTCTATTTTATTCAAAGAATAATAATAAACATTGTAATAGCAAATTGATATAACTTGATAAAGAACTTGATGGAACTATGTCTTATCTCAGTCTGGTGTGGTAGTGTATGCCTTAGCCCAAACTGCTTGAGAGGCCAAGGTGGGAGGATCACCTGGGCTTGGGCCCAGGAGTTCGAGGCTGCAGTGAGCCATTATTGCACCACTGCCCTTCAGCCTAGGTGACAGAGTGAGACCCTACCTCAAGGAAAAAAAAAGGAAATATGTCTTTTCTTATAGTAAAAGTGAATTATTAACTTAGAATCGATACATTTGTTTATATAAAAATTATATGAATGAGCAATAAATATTTGTTTTTGATGGTTATATTTGTAAATTAGCATCTACTACCAACAATTAAAATATGAGGATCTTGATGGTCTGAAGGTAGTGAATTAATTGACTATTGATAGTCTGACAGATTAAGCTCCTTATTCTTTTCTTCTTCTTTGCGATAGAGTTTTGTTTTTGTCACCTAGAGCTGGAATGCAGTGGCACAATCTTGGGTCACTGCAACCTCCATCTCCTGGGTTCAAGCAGTTCTTTTGCCTCAGCCTTGTGAGTAGCTGGGCTTACAGATGCCTGCCAGTACGCCCATGTCATATTTGCATTTTTAGTAGAGATGGGGTTTTAGTCACCATATTGGCCAGGCTGGTCTTGAACTCCTGACCTCAAGGTGATCCATTGCATGTGGCCTGGTTTTTTGGTGTGTTTTTTTTTTTTTGATTCCGAGTCTTACCCTGTTGCCCAGGCTAGAGTGCAGTGGCACAATCTCAGATCACTGCAGTCTCTGCCTCCCCGGTTCAAGTGATTCTCCTGCCTCAGCGTCCTGAATAGCTGGGACTACAGGTGCATGCCACCACTCATGGCCAATTGTTGTATTTTCAGTAGAGATGAGTTTTCATCATGTTGGACAGGCTGATCTCTTAACTCCTGACCTCAGGTGATCTGCCCTTGTGGGCCTCCTAACACGCTGGGATTTTAGGTGTGAGCCACTGCTCCTGGCCCTTATTCCGTTTTTCTACTCTTTTCCCCCTTCTCACTACTGTACTTGACTAGTCTTAAAAAAAAAAAGCTGGGGGGGGGGTGGGAAATATGGACATCTTTTCAATTTTTTTGTTTTTCCTCTAGGGACGACTAATATATTAGGAATTTGAGGTCGGGCTCAGTGGCTCATGCTTGTAATCCCAGCACTTTGAGAGGCCGGGGTGGGTGGATCACAAGGTCAGGAGATTGAGACCATCCTGGCTAACGTGGTGAAACCCCATCTTTACTAAAAATACAAAAACTAGCTGGGCGTGGTGGCACATGCTTGTAGTTCCAGTTACTTGGGAGACTGAGGCAGGGGAATCACTTGAACCCGGGAGGCAGAGGTTGCAGTGAGCCGAGTTGTGCCACAGCACTCCAGCCTGGCCACAGAGCCAAGACTGTCTCAAAAAATTAAAAAAAAAAAGAAAAAAATAATTTGAAATTTGAAATATTACTTTATTTATTTATTTTTTGAGACAGAGTCTTGCTCTTTACCCAGGCTGGAGTGCAGTGGCACAATCTTGGCTCACTGCAACCTCTGCCTCCTGGTTCAGCAGTTCTCCTGCCTCAGCCTTCCCAGTAGCTGGAAGTATAGGTGTCTGCCACCACACCTGGCTAATTTTTGTATTTTTAGTAGAGACATGGTTTTACCATATTCGTCAGGTGGGTCTGGAACTCCTGACTTCAGGTATTCTGCCTGCCTCGGCCCCAAAAATGCTGGGATTACAGATGTAAGCTACTGCACCTGGGCTCTAAATATTACTTTAAATGCTAGAAAACCATTTGAAAAAAAATTTTAAGTTCAAGCTCTTAGGAAATTCATTAAATTTTTTTTTTATTATTAATTTTTTTGAGACAGGGTCTCGTTCTGTCATCCAGGCTAGACTGCAGTAGCAAGATCACCACTCACTGTTGCCTAGGCCTCTTGGGCTTAAGCAATCCTTTTGCCTCAGCCTCCTGAGTAGGTGGGACTACAGGCATGTACCACTATGCCAGACTAAATTTTTTTTTTTTTTTTTGAAACGGAGTTTCGCTCTCGTTACCCAGGCTGGAGTGCAATGGCGCGATCTCGGCTCACCGCAACCTCTGCCTTCCGGGTTCAGGCAATTCTCCTGCCTCAGCCTCCTGAGTAGCTGGGATTACAGGCATGCGCCACCATGCCCAGCTAATTTTTTTGTATTTTTAGTAGAGACGGGGTTTCACCATGTTGACCAGGATGGTCTCGATCTCTTGAATTCGTGATCCACCCGCCTCGGCCTCCCAAAGTGTTGGGATTACAGGCTTGAGCCACCGCGCCCGGCACCAGACTGATTTTTAAACTTTTAGTAGAGTTGGGGATCTTACTATGTTGCTCAGGCTTAGAAGTGATCCTCTCCACTCGGACTCCCAAAGTGCTGGGAGCGCTTGGCCGGTAAATACATTTTTTGTTAAAAAAAAATTTTTTTTTTTTGATGTGGAGTCTTGTTCTGTTGCTCCAGCTGGAATACAGTGAGGCAATCGTGGCTTACTGTAGCCTTGAACTAAAGTGATCTTCCCACCTAATCCTCCTGAGTAGCTGTAACTATAGGCATGCACCACCATGCCTGGCTAATTTTTTTGCATTTTCTGTGGAGATGGGGTTTCATCATGTTGCCCAGGTTGATTTTGAACTCTTGGGCTCAAGTGATCTGCCCGCCTTGGCCTTCCAAAGTGTGAGGATTATGGACAGGAGCCACCATACCCGGCCCAAAGAAGTTTTTTTCCCCCCACTAAGTCGGAGTCTTGTTCTGTTGTGCAGGCTGGCGTGCAGGGTGCAATCTTGGCTCACTGTAACCTCCACCTCCCAGGTTCAAGCAAATTCTGCCTCAGCCTCCCGAGTAGCTGGGATTACAGATATGCACCTGTAATATATTTAGTTTGTGAAAATTCATCAAGCTGTATACCTATGATAATGTGTAATATTCTGTGTATTACCCTACAATAAAAGAACAAAAATAATATAGGACAATGGATGTAGCATCACCAAGACATGCAGATGAACTCAAATGACTAGTCAGAGAAGCAACACTAATACAGATAAGTTAGTTGTTATGTTTCTTTTCTAAAAGCTACTTCTGCCGGGCGCGGTGGCTCAAGCCTGTAATCCCAGCACTTTGGGAGGCTGAGGCGGGTGGATCACGAGGTCGAGAGATCGAGACCATCCTGGTCAACATGGTGAAACCCCGTCTCTACTAAAAAAGTGCAAAAAATTAGCTGGGCATGGTGGCACGTGCCTGTAATCCCAGCTACTCAGGAGGCTGAGGCAGGAGAATTGCCTGAGCCCAGGAGGCAGAGGTTGCGGTGAGCCGAGATCGCGCCATTGCACTCCAGCCTGGGTAACAAGGGCGAAACTCCGTCTCAAAAAAAAAAAAAAAAAAAAAGCTACTTCTTTCTTCAAATAATTTAAATCAATAATTATAATACTATTTAATACAACTACAGTGCACCTAAGAAGATAAACACGTTGATAAAACTAAGCGGAGTTACTTCATATTAACACTTCTATCTAAATTATTCTTGCTGGTAAAAAAATCCAAAGGTGAAAAATTGGGGAAACATCTATTTTATTTTTATTTTATTTTTGAGCAGTTCACTGCTAGGAGACATCTGTTTTAAACTCTACTATGAAAAGTAGTATTGAATTGTGTTTACAAGGATTTAAACTCATACTGAAAATGTGTTTACAAGGATCTCAAAACATTCCCAGAGCACTCTAAACAGCCCTAAAAGCTGTCTACAAATAGTATTTTTTATGTAATATTTAGGGTTCACATGATGAATTATTTTACCAGAACTCTGAGTGCGTTGGCTCATGCCTGTAATCCCAGCCCTTTAGGAGGCCAAGGCAGGTGGATCACGAGATCAGGAGTTTTAAGACCAGCCTGGCCAACATGGTGAAACTCTGTCTCTACTAAAAATACAAAACTTACTGGGCATGGTAGCGCATGCCTGTAATCTCAGCTACTGAGGAGGCTGAGGCAGAATTTGCTTGAACCTGGGAGGTGGAGGTTACAGTGAGCCAAGATTGCAGCACTGCACTCCAGCCTGCAAAACAGAACAAGACTTGGTCTCTGGGAGGAAAAAAAATTAATTTGGGCTGGGCATGGTGGCTCATGCCTGTAATCCTCACACTTTGGAAGGCCAAGGTGGGCAGGTCACTTGAGCCCAAGAGTTCAAAATCAACCTGGGCAACATGATGAAACCTGTGTAGCTTGCACTCAGATCAAGAAACTGAATACTGCCAGCACGTCAGAAGCCATCCATGTGACCCCTTCAAGTCATTATTCTCTCTGGGGTAATGATCATCCCATTGTCAATCATTTTTTAAACTTGTGTTTTAAAATGGAGTTCATAACCAGATTTAAGCCATACAAAAATTTCAGTCTCTTTAAGCTATTTTGTCGGCTAATTAATTTGCTTGCTTATCTTACTTATTTTATTACTACAAATGTCCTTTGACTGTGAAATGAAAATTAAAAAGATGCATTTTCATTATCGAACAATATGTTTAAATTAACACATCTAGGAAATACATTTCTAAACTTTGGATTTCTTTTCCCTTACAGACCACCAAATCCCATTGAATTTCTAGCATCTTATCTTTTAAAAAACAAGGCACAGTTTGAAGATCGAAACTGACTTAATGGGAAGAACAGAAAAATTTAGTTGCTACTGTAGATTTACATGATTAAGAGGCAGCTTTAATTGCCATGATTATTTCGCTTTTTGAATGTATAAGATCCTTCAGGACAACAGAACTTATTTCTTGAATTGCAGAAGAGAACATATTTCCCTTATTTTGATTTAATCATCATAAACCATACTTATTTAATGAGTGTGCAATTTTTTCTCAGATTGTCTTTAACTTTGTTTTTAAAATGACCTTCAAAATAAACTGTCAAAACACCATTATTTTAAAGTAGTTTTTGTTCTGTATGACAAACATTTTACATGATTGAATTGTTTTATGAATTTCTCTTTTTCTTCTGTCTTCAAATGCTACAGAGTTTTACAATAGAGAGAAAATACAGCAGTCAAGTCTAATGTAAAAAATTTAGCCAGTTTTTCTCAGTATTGTTTTTGGACCTTTCTGAGGGTGGGATCTGGGCATCTTCAATAGCTTAAGAAATATCACAGGTGATTCTAATGTACAATAATGTTGGAGTACTGATAAAAGCATTGCAAAGGGGATACAATATCCTCTAATGCCATCAACATTTATAGTAATAGCAATAGCTATAATTTATTGCATTCCTGTCAGACATAGTACAATTTTACTTAAATTATCTCTGATATAGCAGCTCTGCAAAGTAGATATTATTATTCCCATTTTGCAGATGAGGAAACAGACTTGGAGAGGTTAAGTGACATGCTCAAGACAACACTGCTGGTAAGTTTTTTTGAATGGGAATTCGAATCCTGTTCTACCAATGTGTTGCTGAATTTCATTGCTGCTTTTTGCAATAAAAAGCAGCCAGTCCTTTTTGGAGTCTATTCCTATTGTCCCCTGTGAAGAAATTGAGATAGCTCACTAGCTCGGAAAATAGAGAAATTGCCTGAAGAGAGCCAGGAAAAACATTTCACTAGAATACCAGTTCTCAAATGGGAGTGATTGTCCCTCCCCACCCCCATTTTCCCAGAGAACATTTGTTAATGTCTGGACACATTTTGGTTGTCACAACTGGAATAAGGTGGGGTTCTTGTACTCCTTGTGATCCACCTGCCTCAGCCTCCTAAAGTGCTGGGATTATAGGCGTGAGCCCTTGTGCCTGGCTAGGTGGGGTTCTACTGGCATCTAGTGGGTATAGATGCTCCTAAAACATCCCAACAATGAATAGGACAGCCTGCATGTCCATCTTCTCCCTCCCCAAGAATTATCTAGCTTAAAATGTCAGTGCCAAAGTTGAAAAATCTTTATTAGAAGCTGATTAAAGTCGTGTGCCTCCAAGCTAAATATGTTAAGGTCTTTGTGAAGTTAGAAATTTAATGCTGATAGGCAGGGCGCGGTGGCTCAAGCCTGTAATCCCAGCACTTTGGGAGGCCGAGGCGGGTGGATCACGAATTCAAGAGATCGAGACCATCCTGGTCAACATGGTGAAACCCCGTCTCTACTAAAAATACAAAAAAATTAGCTGGGCGTGGTGGCGCACGCCTGTAATCCCAGCTACTCAGGAGGCTGAGGCAGGAGAATTGCCTGAGCCCAGGAGGCGGAGGTTGCGGTGAGCTGAGATCGCACCATTGCACTCCAGCCTGGGTAACAAGAGTGAAACTCTGTCTCAAAAAAAAAAAAAAAAAAAAAGAAAAAAGAAATTTAATGCTGATGAGATATGTCTTAAATAGAGGAAATACTTATTTTAGTAGAACTGACACTCGTTGGAGGTGCTATGTTTTTGGTTTTCATCTGCAGATCTATATATTTGAATAGGAAAAACCTGGACATACTGGGATCTTTTTAAAAAAATTATAAATTTTTTTTCTTTATTTTCTTTTTTCCTATATGTCCTGCACATTTTTTTTTTTTTTTTTTTTTTTTTTTTTTTTTTGAGACGGAGTTTCGCTCTTATTACCCAGGCTGGAGTGCAATGGCGCGATCTCGGCTCACCGCAACCTCCGCCTCCTGGGTTCAGGCAATTCTCCTGCCTCAGCCTCCTGAGTAGCTGGGATTACAGGCATGTGCCACCATGCCCGGCTAATTTTTTGTATTTTTAGTAGAGACGGGGTTTCACCATGTTGACCAGGATGGTCTCGATCTCTCGACCTCGTGATCCACCCGCCTCGGCCTCCCAAAGTGCTGGGATTACAGGCGTGAGCCACCGCGCCCGGCCATTTTTTTTTTTTTTTTTAATGAGTTCTGCTCTTGTTGCCCAGGCTGGAGTGCAATGGCACAATCTTGGCTCACTGCAACCTTCGCCTCCCAGGTTCAAGTGATTCTCCTGCATCAGCCTCCTGAGTAGGTGGGATTACAGGTGCACGCCACCACACCCAGCTAATTTTGTATTTTTAGTAGAGATGGGGTTTCACGATGTTGTCCAGGCTGGTCTTGAACTCCTGACCTCCAGTAATCAACCTGCCTCTGCCTCCCAAAGTATTGGTATTACAAGTGTGAGTCACCACGCCCAGCCAATACTATATATATATCTTGTGAGACATCATCTGGCTGTGTTGCCCAGGCTAGAATGCAGTGGTATGATCTCAGCTCATTGAAATCTTTGCCTCCTAGGCTCAAGCCAGTCTTTCACCTTAGCCTCCCAAGTAGCAAGGACTACAGGCATGTACCACCACACCCAGCTAATTTTTGTTTAATACTCTATTACCTTTCAGGTGTGCCTAAATTTTTCTTTGATGGAAAAATTAGTCCCACTGATCTGGCTAGTAGTTGAAAAAGTGAATCACCAATTAGCTGGGTGTGGTGGTACGTGCCTGCAGTCCCAGCTACTCAGGAGGCTGAGGCTGGAGAATTGCTTGAACTCAGGAGGCCAATGTTGTAGTCAACTGAGATTGCTCCACTGCACTCTAGCCTGGGCGACAGAGTGAGACTGTCTCAGAAATAAATGAATGAATGAATGAGTCACTGTAGGTAATCATAAATGCTATATACTGTAAAAAGGTTTTTTGTTTGTTTTTGAGATACAGTCTTGCTCCATCCCCCAGGCTGGAGTGTAGTGGCACGATCTTGGCTCACTGCAGGTTGTCATTGCAGCCTTGACGACCTAGGCCCAAGTGATCCTCCCACCTCAGCCTCCTCAGAAGCTGGGACTATAGGTCCTCACCACCATGGCTGGCTAATTTGATTTTTTTGTATTTTTTTGTAGAGACAGAGTTTTACCTTGTTGCCCAGGCTCATCTTGAACTCCTGGGCTCAAGCAGTCGCCTGCCTTGGCCTTGCAAAGTGCTGGGATTACAGGCATGAGCCACTATCTCTAGCTGTAAACATTTTTTTAAAAAACTTAAAAATATTTCATGTGAATTTGGTAATTTTTTGATTTTAGTCTTGTCTTTGGGTATGAGTTCTTCCATGGAATTCTGTATCATCCTTTTTCCACAAAGCACACCTGTGATGCATGGTCTAAAAATTTCAGTTTCAAATTTTTTTGAAAGTATCTTACGGTTTAGATATTTAAGAGGTAATTTATAGAATGCTAGATTTGTTTTTTCACTCTTTATTCATCTTGTCTGCCTCTGACAGTATTTTTTTTTTTCACTTGAGTCTTTCTAAAACATTCAACCTAATTTTGCTACAAACATTGTGTCTTAGTTCTTTTGGCCTGCTACAGCAAAATACTATAGATTGGGTGACCTGTAAACAATTTATTTCTCACAGGTCTGGAATCTGGGAAGTTCAAGATCAAAGTTGTCTAGTGAGGGCTTACTTTCTGGTTGATAGATGGCACCTTCTAACTTTGTCCTCACATGATGGACATGGGCTAGCTAGATCTCTGAGGTCTCTTATAAGGGTACTAATCCTGTTCATAAGATGACCGAATTACCTCTGAAAGGTCCCACATTCATAATGCCATCGCCTTCCTGGTTAGGATTTCAACATATGAATTTGGGAGGAATATAACATGCAGACCATAGCACATCTTTTATGTTATGTATTTATATTTCTTTGGCTTGTGTAATATTTAACTAGATTATATAATGGCAGTACCTAATACAACTGATATAAATAAATTAGAGAACATAATTGATCCTCATTGGGCATACACGCAAATGTGGAAAGAGTGCCATAATGTGAGAGTTTCTTCAAGAGTGTAACCTAGTAGCTTCAAGAGTTCAGTTTATTCATGGGTATTATTCAGTATATTTTGCTGAGGGAATGGAGAGTACCACTTACTCTCATAAATTGGTTAAATAGAAGTCAGTTTAGAAAGTTACTACTATATGGCTGGCCATGGTGGCTCATGCCTGTAATCCCAGCACTTCGGGAGGCTGAGGCGAGTGGATGACCTGATGTCAGGAGTTTGAGACCAGCTTGGCCAACATGGTGAAACCCCGTCATTACTAAAAATATAAACATTAGCCAGGTGTGGTGGTGGATGCCTGTAATCCTAGCTACTCAGGAGGCTGAGGCAGGAGAATCGGTTGAACCCGGGAGGCGGAGGCTGCAGTGAGCTGAGATTGCACCACTGCACTCCAGCTTGGGTGGCAGTGATAAAAAAAAGTTACTACTATACTTTGGAGTGGTAAATTAGATATAGCTGAAAATCATGTAAACAGTTTCCATCCTTTGACCATTTAATGCAGACGTTGTTTAGTAAACAAATAACATAAATTGAGTAAAACCTACTGTATCTCCTAAGAGTGAGTTCATGAATTACGTTGGTGGGTGGGTTAGTTGGGAGGACCAGTAGAATGAATTAGGAATAGATTCCTGGAGGAAACAGAAACCTTGAATTGAAAAAAAAAAGGGAGAAGAGTGGATTGAAGGAGATCATCTACCTGGTTCTGATCCACTTGAAGGAAGAATATTGAACTTTTATTTATTTATTTTTATTATTTTTATTTTTTGAGACAGAGTCTTGCTCTTGTTGCCCAGGCTGGAGTGCAATGGTGTGATCTTGGCTCACCTCCACCTCCATCTCTACCTCCTGGGTTCAAGCAATTCTTTTGCCTCAGCCTCCTGAGTAGCTAAGATTACAGGCATGTGCCACCTCTCCTGGCTAATTTTGTATTTTTAGTAGAGATGGGGTTTCTCTGTGTTGGTCAGGCTGGTCTCAGGCAGGCGGATCACCCGAGGTCAGGAGTTCAAGACCAGCCTAGCCAATATGATAAAACCCCATCTCTACTAAAAATACAAAAATTAGCCGGGTGTGGTGGTGCGTGCCTGTAATCCCAGCTACCTGGGAGGGTGAGGCAGGAGAATCGCTGAAACCTGGGAGGTGGAGCCTGCAGTGAGCTGAGATTGCACCACCCTGCTGCCTAGGCAGCAGAGTGAGACTTTGTCTTAAAAGCAACAAAACAGGAAAAAACAAAACAAAACCTTGCCAGCCTTTAACAAAGCTTTCTTTAAAAAAATATTTTTATTTATTTATTATGTTTTTAGAGACAGGGTCTTGTTCTGTCAGACTGGAGTGCAGTGGCATGTTCACAGCTCACTGCAGCCTTGAACTCCTGGGCTTAAGCAATCCTGGTACTATGGCACGTGGTACTACAGGGGTGTGCCACCATGTCTGGCTAACTTGTTTTATTTTTAGTAAAGATGAGATCTTGCTGTGTTGCCCAGGCTGGCCTTGAATTCTTGAGCTGAAGTAATCCTCCTGCCTTGACCTCCACAAATTTTGAGATTCTAGGCATGAGCCACTGAGCCTGGCTCCTTATATCGTTTGACTCTGTTATTCCATTTCTGAGACTCCTAAATATTAATAAACATGGAAAAAAGCTCTGTGTAAAAAATTTTATTCCAAAACATTGGAAATGAATAAATTTTTATCTTACAGGAATTATTAAATATCTACTGTACTTAGTCCAGTGTTCAGATACACAGTATTTAATAAGTGTTATTTATTAAGTTTGCCTTTTTTTTTTTTTTTTTTTTTTTTTGAGATGGAGTTTCGTTCTTGTTACCCAGGCTGGAGTGCAATGGCGCGATCTCGGCACACCGCAACCTCCGCCTCCCGGGTTCAAGCAATTCTCCTGCCTCAGCCTCCTGAGTAGCTGGGATTACAGGCACACGCCACCATGCCCAGATAATTTGTATTTTTAGTAGAGACGGGGTTTCATCATGTTGACCAGGATGGTCTCGATCTCTTGAATTCGTGATCCACCCGCCTCGGCCTCCCAAAGTGCTGGGATTACAGGCTTGAGCCACCGCGCCCGGCTCTTTTTTTTTTAAGGTAAGGTCTCATTCTGTTGCCCAGCCTGGAGAAGAGTGGTGCAATTATAACTTATTGCAGCCTGAAACTCCTGGGCTTAAGCAATCTCCTACTTCTCCCAAGTAGCTGAGGCTATAGGCATGTGCCACTATGCTTGGCTAATTTTTAAAAATTTTTTTAGTTTTTTTTTTTTTTTTTTGGTCTTGCTATGTTATTCAGCCCCGTCTCAAACTCCAGGCCTCAAGTGGTCCTCCTGCCTCAGCCTTTTAAAGTGCTGGGATTACAGGCTTGAGCCACTATGCCCAGCCACTTCATTCTTTTTAATGGGTGTATGTGTATATCCTAATTTAGCAAGTTTCACGTTGATGGACATTGTGGTTGTTTGTAGTTGTTTGCTACTACAGACTGCTGCAGTAAATAGTGGACATACTGTTTCAGAAGCATGTATATTAATGTGTATTAATGTTGGGTTCTGGGATCTAATGGTGCCTTCTTATTTTCTTTTTTTTTGAGATAGAGCCTTGCTCTTATCACCCAGGCTGGAGTGCAATGTCACAATATCAGCTCACTGCAACCTCCACCTCCCAGGTTCAAGGAATTCTTCTGCCTCAGCCTCCTGAGTAGCTGGGATTACAGGCACCTTCCACTGTGCCTGGCCAATTTTTGTATTTGTAGTAGAGACAGAGGTTTTTCCCTGTTGGCCAGGCTGGTCTTGAACTCCTGACTTCATGATCCACCTGCCTTGGTCTCCCAAAGTGTTGGGATTACAGGTGTAAGTCACTGCTCCCAGCCTTCCTTCTTAGTTCTTGAAGTCTGTGCTTCATAAGGATTGTCTGTTAATAAAGGTTTCCTCCTTGCCCTCTACTATGAATAATTGTTATGGAGTGTCAAATCAAAATCACTGGTTGATACAATGGAAATTGTTGATAATAACATGAGGATTGTACAGTATTGCCAAATAAGCTTCTCCTAAAATACAAAGTAAGTATTTTACAATTATATGAATTTTCCTTAATTTAGGGGAGGTGAATAAAATGAATAGTTTCAACTTTTTTCAAAAGCATACTAGAGTAAGGTAGCTAGAATAAGGTAGACAGGGGAATAATTGTGGCATACATTGAGAGCCATGAAGTATCTGTTAACCTTTCAGTTCAATTGCTTTGTGATTTTTATTCAGTTTGACCAGCAAGAAAATTTCAGTAGAGCATTTTAACAGGGAGAAAGCAGAATTTTAAATCAGATTACTAGTTTGGAATGAGACCTAGGATTGTTGCTAGGAGCAGAGGATAAAAAGAATAACAAATATTTATAAAGAACAGCTTATGAAGCATTTTAACATAACTTAATCATCCTCACAGCAAGCCTATGAGTTAGATATTACTCCTGTTTGCATTTGAAAGATAACACTGAGGCTTGAAAAGGTTAAATTACTAGATGCCGTTAGTTACACAGCTGATGGATGACAAAGCCAGGACTCAAATCTGACTTTCTAATTTGAAGGGCCTGAAATAATAAGCTTTCTTTGTTTCATTGTATCCAATCCCCGCACCCCCCCTCCCACACCCTATACCTCTTTTCCATAGAAACAAAATCAGCAATAAATAACTATAAGAACTGTCATCATAGAAGCACTTAGGATAGTTTTCTTTTTTTTGAAACTTACAACAAAAAGTTTACCATTTCATCAATGATCCCTGAGTTTTGGTACTCTCAGAAGAGTACCACCCTTCCTTTTTCTGTTACCTCTAAATTGGCATCGGGCCAGGCACAATGGTGCATACCTGTAGTCCCAGCACTTTGGGAGGCTGAGGCGGGCAGATCATGAGGTTGGGAGATCAAGACCGTCCTGGTCAACATGGTGAAACACCATCTCTACTAAAAATACAAAAAATTATCTGGGCATGGTGGCGGGTACCTGTAATCCCAGCTACTCAGGAGGCTGAGGCAAGAGAATCACTTAAGAGGCAGAGATTGCAGTTAGCCAAGATCACGCCACTGCACTCCAGCCTGGGCCAACAGAGAGGGATTCCATCCCCGCCCCCCCAAAATAAAGTGGCTTTGGCTACATGGTATGTCCATTTTTTTGTTGCATATTTTGTGCAGGTTAGTGGTGAAGTGAGAGAGTAAAAGTTGAGTAAACAAATATATAGTAGAGATTTTAGCCTAATTAGAAAAAGTTATGAAAGTTAGAAGTGCTCTAGTAATTGACTCGGCTTTAGGACAGGGATTTTGCACAAAATCCCTTGGACCCTAAAGTTGGAGAAGGTAGGAGGAGGAGAGGAAACAGAGTAGACCTTTAAAAAGAAAAAGTAAACTTGAATATTAGACAGCTAGTTTTCTACTTTGGATTCTGTCAGGGGCCTGTTTAGTGTGAAACTCAGATATAATTTTTTTTTCTTTTCTTTTTTGAGACAGGGTCTTGCTATGTTGCCCAGGTTGGAATGCAGTGGTGTGATCATGGCTTACTGTAGCCTCGACCTCCTGGGCTCAAGTGCTCCTCCCACCTCCACCTCCCAAACAGCTAGGACCACAGGTGAAGACACCATGCCCAGATTTAAAAAAAAAAAAGTATAGAAACAGGGTTCTATGTTCCCCAGGCTGGTCTTAAACCGCTGGCCTCAAGCAATCCTACTGGCTCAGGCCCTCAAAGTACTGGGATTACAGGCAGGAGGTACCATGCCTATGGAGTTACATTTTATAGTGTTTGCCGCAAAACTTTCATTGGATGTATGCAACTTTGTCTTCCTCTATTCCTGCTTTTGCAATAGTGTACTTTGTAACAATAACACTTCCTCGGAGGTCCAAGATAGAGCCTCCTTTACTGTGATTCTTACACAATTGTAAAGAAATTCTTTATTCCTGACATTTATGTGGAATACTGGGATTTATGAGATGACAAGAGTGGAAATGATATTTGTTGTATGCTTTCCCTGTCAGGCTTTTCACATTCAGCACTCCTTGAGTGTCCCCATTTTACAGTTGAGGATAACTGAGGCTAGTTAATATCAAACACTTTAGTTAGGGAGATAATACATCCACCTACATAAATAACACCACGAAACAAGACAAATGGTTACAATGTCAAAGCCCCCATTAGGTGGTAAGGGTGACCCTGTGAAGCAAAAACTAGCATTTGCAGGACCACAGGCACACTTTACCACGTGCCTGCTTCTACAAATGAACTTCCCGGCGTGGCCACCCTAGGAATGAGACCTTGGGGGTGCGAATCCATGGAAGATGCCTGTGTATGATGGGGAATACCACCAGGACTGTCCTCGTAGAGAGCCGCATCCACGAGCCCTAGGTGCTCTCCATTTGAGGAAGTTGGCTGGGGGAGGGGGCTTGCCTTGCGGCTGCGTCCTGCTCCCCGCGCCCTGCCCCCACCTCCCAGCCTCTGCTGCCGCTAAACCCCGGAGAGCGGAGCGTGCACGTTGAGATTCCTCGGCGGGCCTGGCAGCGGTGCTGGGCATGCTCAGTGGGCAGGACCCGTTAGAGTGGCGAGTAAGGAAGCGTTGGCTCTTCTCCGCGTCTGCCTTCCCTGGTTCAGGCCCCGGCCCTCGGCTTTTGTGTGCGCGGAGCTGCAGCCACCGCTGCCTCCTCGCGGGGCTGCCCGACCCCAGATGCCGTCCGGCCTGTCCGCTTTCCGCCGTTAACCTCGCCGTGCGGCCGGGAGGAGGAGCGGGGCGGGGCCGGCGGCGGGCGGCCGGGCTGGAGGGCCCTGCCAGGGGTGGGGGTGGGTGCGGGGAGCCCCGCGGGGGGCGGGGGCGGGCGCGGGCGCGGAGTCACGGGGGTGGGGTCACCGGCGGTGGCTCGGGGAGGCCAGCTGGGAGGGGAGGGGGGCCGTGGGGGCGGCTCGGCGGAACCAGCCCCGGCTGGGCAGCAGCGGCGACGCCGTGGGCCGGGGCCAGGGCTTTCCGGGCTTCGGTGAAGCCGCCGTGGGCCCCATCTTCCGGCGGCCGCCGGAGTTTGTGGTGATTGTTGCTGCCGCCGCCACCGCCCCGGCTGCCATCTCCTCCTCCCGGGCCGCCGCCTCCTCTTCTTCCTCCTCCTCCTGGGCCGGGCTGATCCCCTCCCCGCCGCCGCCTCCTCCTGGGCTGGGCCCGCGGTGTCTCGTCCCCTCGCGGAGCCGCTCCTGCCGCCGCCGCCGCCGCCTCCTCATTCATCCTCGTGCACCATAGGCGGCACAGGCACCAAGATGTCCAACCGAGTGGTCTGCCGGGAAGCCAGTCACGCCGGGAGCTGGTACACAGCCTCAGGTAGGGCCCCAGGCCGCCGGCCCGCCCGCCGCCGCCGCCGCCTGGCCCCGCGCCCGGCCGGCCGAGGTCGGCGGCGGGCGGGGACGAGGGCGCGGACGGGCCGCCGGGCGCGGACCGCGTGGGGAGGGAGCGAGCCGAGGCCGGCCTCGCCGCCTCCCCCATCCGGGCGGCGGGCATCCAGCGCCAGCAGCCCGGGGACGGCCGGCCTCACGCTCGCCGGAGTTGGGCGAGAGGGAGAGTTGCCGCCTCGGCAGCCCGCGCCCTCCCTCGGGACCGGGCTCGAGGAAGGAACGTGGTCCCTGCCCCGAGCCGACTTGTCGCCGCCTCCGGCTCCCGGGAAGCGGGCGGCCGGCCCCTGCCACCCCCGGGAAGGACGGTGTGCCCGGCGCGGAGCCCCGCTTCCCCACGCCTCCGGGCAGCGACCCTCCGCCCTTTCCTTTTCTCTCTCGTCTTCCCTGCTTTCCCCGCCGGCGGTCCGGGGAGCGCCCTCGCCCAGAGGGAGTTCTGTCGGTCTGCCCCCGAGCCCCCGCGCCCGCAGCCGGAGAGGAAGTCTTCTCGCCCGGTGGCTCTGGCGCTGGAGAAGCAGGCAGCGTTTCTCTGCACCTTTGAAGGGCTCCGCTGTCTTGCAAGGAGTGAAGGGTAGCACTTTTTGACGTTACCAGACTACAGGCAAGGTTTCTGCATGGGGAGATCTGTCAGGAGGGCCTTTCAGGGATTTGTCGCTTTGTAGGCTGGGGCTGGGGTGGAAGTACGGCTAAGCAGGGGCTTGGGGGGCCCTCCCAGCTCTTTTGTCAAGTGTTTGCATTGTTACTGTCATTCACGAAAGGGGCAGCTGGAGATGGCATCAGCACTTTTCTTGTGCAGTCGCCGTAGTCACTGGTCGCCCAACACCAGGCAGGTGCTAGAACTACCTAATGAATTAAGTTTAATCTTTGAGCGAGTTGAGTCTTCTGTCTCCACTGTCTAAAAACGTTTTAGAGTTCTTTCTGTAAGAGTGTAGGGACTTTCCCTTTAAAGCGCTTGTTAGAACGCCTGTTTTCTGGGATTATTTTCAGGAGTCACATTTCTGGTATGTTAACAAAGTTGTGTGATTCCTCATAGTCTTCAGTCATTTGGTATTGGCTTATCAATAACCAGGGCTAACTTCTCCATATGAATCGGATCATGTTCTCTTTGCAAAGAATTGGCTTGGAGAGTGACATGGCCTGTGAGAAAGCAAAGATTTGGAAGAAAATTCGTTTCTCTGAGGTTGCTAAACTAGCTCATTAAGTACATGTACCTTACTGAAATACATGACTCACTGAAGATTTTCTGTGTTAGGGAAACGCAAAAGAATTGTGAGGATTGGATTTGCAGCTATAGCTAACAGGTAGCTATAGTTTTGCATTAAGCAAATATGACATTTTATGGTTACAGTGGTTTCCCTTCATGGTCCTAAAGTACTTCATAAACATTTAATCAGCTCTCACAGCCGGAGAATGCCAGTTAAATTATTCTTGTTCAGTGAATGGGAAAAGATGTAGAGAAGTTCAAGTTCAGTGGTTCCCCCCCCCCCCACCCCCAGACAGAGCCTTGTTTCTCTCAGGCTGGAGTGCAATGGCGCTGTCTCGGTTCATTGCAACCTCTGCTTCCAGGGTTCAAGCGAATCTCCTGCCTCAGTCTCCGCAGTAGCTGGGATTACAGGCGCGCACCACCATGCCTTGCTAACTTTTTTTGTATTTTTGGTAGAGACGGGGCTTCACCATCTAGGCTCGGCTTGGTCTTGAACCCCTGACCTCGTGATCTGCCTGCCTCGGCCTCCCAAAGTGTTGGGATTACAGGCGTGAGTCACCGAGCCCTGCCAGAAGTTCAATGTTTTAAACATTTGTTGTAGTTTGCATTGGAATGTGGGCAAGTGATTCTGGGGGGAATTTCTATAGATTCTTGGACATTCTTTGGATAATCTTTATATATATATATATATATATATATATATATATATATATACACACACACACACACACGCATATATATATATATATATATATATATATATATATATATAAATTTTTTTTTTTTTTTTCTTAAAGATGGCTTTTCACCATGTTGGTCAGGCTGGTCTTGAACTCCTGACCTCAGGTGATCCACCTGTCATGGCCTCCAAAGTGCTTGAATTACAGGCATGAGCCACCATGCCCGGCCTGGATAATCTTATAGGGCATAGGATTTGGAAAGAGATATTTGGTTTGTCTTTTCAGATCTAAGGTGAATTCGTTAATTCAGCTCAGAACATTCTGTGGTTATTGTTATTTATCAACAATGAACTAAAGTGGACTATTTTCTTAAAAATTCTAAAGGTATTCTTATTTCCCTAAATTCTGAGTGAAATCAATAATGCCATTTTTGATAATATACATTGTCACAGAGAACCTTAAAATTAAGGTCATATATTTGTGACTTTTTTGGGGGAGAGTTGGTGTGTGACTTTTTAAACTTGAGTAATAATTGAGGGTAGATTTAAAGCAATTCAATTGTAAAAGCTTATTTTGTATTTTAAAAATAAATGAAATACAGCTACAGATAAGTAAACTTTGACTGGGTTTAGTAACATTTGTCTTTAATAGTTGCCAGAGTAACTACATTGATAACATTGACCGTTGGAAACATTGTACTTGTATTGTGTTGTTTTTCTAGTATACTAGTCCTAAAAAAGTATAATAGGAGATGGAGAGGTTTTTCTGGATTGCCATTCTGTGGTTCCTACAGCATTCAAGTCGTGTCCATAGAATTAATGTGTTTTATTACTGACATAAATAAGGGTGAAAACACATTTGTTTTAGTTATCTGGCTATTTCAGGAAAAAGTGTGTGTGTACATATATAAATATTACATATACACACACACATATATCTTCTTTGTGTTTACCCCTTGTTATTTGCTCGATCCATTGATAGAGAGTAACGTAAATTATTTCCTGCCTCCAAGGAATTTTCAGTTTATTTGAAGTAAGTAATAACTTAGCGCAGCAAATAAATACCGGGTAAGTTGAGATATGCTTTTAGGACTTCTGGGGAGGGTAGAATGATTTTGGGGTAGGATTTGAATTATGCTTTGAAGGAAGGGTATTTGAGCAGGTTTGGAGCAGGAGGAAAGAACATTGGATTGAGAAGCACCACGTAGGTAACAGAGGCAGGTAAATGTGGCTAGCTCAGTTTAGTGGGAATGGAAGGTACACAAGGGCATAGTTGATGAGCCTGTAGTAGTAGGCTGGTCCTACAGTACAGAAGGCCTATAAATGCCAGACATCATTGGGACTGGACTTATTCAGTAGAGAGAGAGGACCAATGGAGGTTTTTGCGTAGGGGACTAGTATAACACAAGTAGCATTTTAGGAAAATTAATCTTATAGGAAGGTTCATTCTCACTTCTCTATGCGTGTGTAGCAGGGATTAGCTGCAGCCCTCCCCCCACTTTTTTTTTTTGGTAAGGTCCAGTGGCTAAGAATGGTTGTTAGTATTTAATGGGTTGTTTTAAAAACAAACAAAACCATGAAATGCTGTAGAGACTGTATGTGACACACAAAGTCTGAAATATTTACTGTTTGGCCCTTTATAGAAAAAATTGGCCAAACCCTGGCTAGTGTAGGTTAGTGGTTGTTAAAGTTTGATCTCTGGACCAGCAGTATAATTGAAATGTCTGTTTTCCCCAGATTTGCTACAGCTTTCATTCCATTACTTTGAGATATGCTTTTAGGACTTCTGAGGCAGGTAGAATCATTTTGGGGTAGGATTTGAATTATGCTTTGAAGGAAGGGTATTTGAGCAGGTTTGGAGCAGGAGGAAAGAACATTGGATTCAAAAGGAGAAAAAGAAAAAAAAAAGAACATTGGATTGGGAAACGCCACACATTTATCTTGCCTGTTGGATAAGGTCTGCGTCCCCTCATAACTTGCCATCATCTTCCTATCTCTATGACCGCTTTCCTCTACCCCAACCCAGTTTTGGTTTTACCCCCCTTAAATGACATCTAGTAGTTGTGCATTGTTTCTTTAAATACGTCATGCTATTTTTTACCTCTGTGCTCTTGCTCAAACTGGTCCCTCTGTTGAAATGTTCTTTGTCAGGATAATTCCAACTCCTCTTTTAAAGATTCAAGTGTTAATACCTTCAAGAAACCTAACCTGGTGCTTTGCCTCCCCAATGTAGTTTTTAAGTTTCTTGTTATCTGTGTATATGGGACGACAGGTACCGTGTCTTACTCATTTTTTGTACCATAAATACTCAGCACAGGCTTTGTACATAGAAGATGCTCATTAAGTATTTAACTGAATGTTAAAGTGCTTGACATATAGTAGGTGATTAGCAAGTGGTAGGTATTGGTAGCATATGTGGACAGGGATACAAATGTTTACATTCTGAAGAGTGGTGGGGCTGATGTAAGACTGCTGCCTGTCTCTAATCATGGTATAGGTGAAGAATCTTGGTGGTAGGAAGGGATTACAAATCCTGTTCTTCCAGTTAGGGATCCAGTGAGTGTAAGATTTTTAAAGTATGACATATTTTAAACAAGTTCAGCTAGATGAGTAAGTTCATTCACATAATGAGTACTCAATTCAAGAAACACAGCAGTACTGGAATTCCCAACAAATGCCCCTCCCCACATTCCATGTCCTTGCATTCTAAGACTATAGAAAAATTTTGTCTGTTTTCAAATTCTGTATCAGTGGAATTATATAGTATGTATTCTTTGAGCTTCTTTTTTATTTTTATTTTTTTGAGATGGAGTCTTGCTGTGTTGCCTAGGCTAAAGTGTGCAGTGACCCAATCTCGGCTCAATGCTACCTCCGCCTCCTGAGTTCAAGTGATTCTCCTGCCTCAGCCTCCTGAGTGGCTGGGATTGCAGGCGCGTGCCACCATGCCTGGCCAATTTTTGTATTTTTAATAGAGATGGTGTTTCATCACGTTGGTCAGTTGTGTCTCAAACTTCTGATCGCAGGTGATCCGCCTGCCTTGAGCTCCCAA